CCAACGAGGGCGGCCGGTGCCGCTCTGCCCCGCCGGAAGCGGAAGTTGCGCCGCCTCGTGGTTCCGGGGGAGGCGTTCGGAGCTGCTGCGGCCCGTTCCCGTTCCCGTTCCCGTTCCCGTTCCCGTTCCCGCTCCCGCTTCCGCTTCAGCTCTTTCCCGGCCCCGACCCCGACCCCGCCCAGTTCCCGTTCTCAGCCCAATCTTGGTCCCATTCCAGCTTCTTTCCCGGACGCAGCTCCGTTCCGTTCCCGTCTCGGCCCCCTTCTTAGTCCCGTTCCCGGCTCCATTCCCGTTGCCGTTTCCAGCCCCTTTCCCATTCCCGGTCCCGCTCGCATTCCCGTTCCTGCCATGGCGGTCCGCGCCAGCTTCGAGAACAACAACGAGCTGGGCTGTTTCGCCAAGCTCACCAACGCCTATTGCCTCGTGGCCATCGGCGGCTCCGAGAACTTTTACAGGTGAGCGGGGCCCGCCCGGCCCGGCCCGGCCCGGCCCGGCCCGCGGCCCCGCGGGGCCCTGACGCGGCGCTTTCTCCTTGCAGCGTGTTCGAGGGGGAGCTCTTCGGGACCATCCCGGTGGTTCACGCCTCCATCGCCGGCTGCCGCATCATCGGCAGGATGTGTGTGGGTACGTGAGCCGGAGGGAGCCCCGGGGGAACGGGGGAAGGTCGCGGCTGGGTCGGGGCTGAGTGGGGCCGGGGAGCCCGTGGGGCAGCGCCCCTGGCGCTCCAGGGTTGGTTTAATGCCTCGAGTGTGTGAGGAGGAGGAAGGATGACCTCAAAGGCCTTTTCCAACCTGGCTGATGCTGTGAAGGACGTAGGGAAACAGAGACTCGCCCAGGAGCCGGGGTGGGGGAGTGTCGGCTCTTGGGGCCAGGGAAGCTCGGCTGCTCCTCGGTGCCCAGGGAGGGGGAGGCACTGCCGAATGGGAAAGTCAGGGAAAAGCCTTTCACGTGTCTCTTCCTGGTGAGACACCTTAGGTCAGACCAGCTTCTTGCTTATTTGTTTCTTTAACCATTCAGTCCTGCTGCCACAGTCACACAACAGTAGCACTGGGCCTTTTGTAGGGCAGATGGCATCTGCACAGAGAGTTCCTTGTTAAGAATCCCACTGAGAGCCTCGAGCCTCCTTTAGTCCTGTTGGAAGAGAGAAGGGAGTAAAGATAGTGCCCATACTGAGGGCATACTGATAGTGTCCATCTTTTCCTGAGGTGCTGGTTATTTTTACATCTCCTGGGCAAAATTCTGGGCTTGGAAGAAATGCACAGAGCAAGAGCAGCTCAAGCCATGTGTGAACAGCAGGGAAGTGCTAACACACCCTGTGGAGACATGATTTTCATTCTGTTCTATTTCCTTTTGTCATTTTAGGGAACAGACATGGGCTGCTGGTCCCGAGCAGCACGACAGACCAAGAGCTGCAGCACATCCGCAACAGCCTCCCGGATTCTGTGCGCATCCAGCGCGTGGAGGAGCGGCTGTCGGCCCTGGGCAACGTCACCACCTGCAATGACTACGTGGCTCTGGTCCACCCGGATCTGGACAGGGTACAGGGCTCCAGGATGCTTCCACATGCAGAGTGGGGCTGGGAAACGCTGCCCAGGCTGAGGCTGCAGCGGTGGTGAATGTGCTTTGGAGAAGGGAAGGAGTTGGAGGGGGGGGTCCTGTGTAACGTGGGACAGGACAAGGGGGCACTGACAGAGGGCAGGGCTGGATGGGATATTGGAAAGAAACTCTTCTCTGACAGGGTGGTGAGGCCCTGGTACAGGTTGCCTAGAAAAGCTCCAAGCCCCATCTCTGGAAGTGTCCAAGGCCAAGTTGGAGAGGGCTTGGAGCAACCTGGTCTGGTGGAAGGTGTCCTTGCCTGTGGCAGGGGATGGAATGAGAGGAGTTTTAAGGTCCCTCCAACCCAAAGTATTCTGTGAATCAGTGATCATTGGGTGCAGTTTGCTTTGGGTGCATAAAATTGGGTGAATTAGAGTGTGCAGGGGTGTAATAAGGAGCGTAAGGAGGAGTGCAGTGAGGGCCACAGGAGGAGTTACAAGCTACATCTGAGTGAGCCAGAGCATGTTATAGCTGAAAGAGACCATGGATGTGCATCATTATAGGGGCCTGAAAGAAAAAAAGAGGGTTCTTGTATGAGAGTTTAAAATAAGGGCAAAGGAGACAACATCACTCCTATTTTATATCTGAGAACAGGTACCTTAACACCATTGAGAGAGATGTGTTGTGTGGCTGCAGGCCCTGACAGTGTTTGCTTCCAGTTTGTGCTAAAGGTGATAAAGGAATGAGACTTGGTGGCAGGAGTGCAAAGGGAAAAATAAGGGAATGGGAGAAGGCTTTGCACTATATGTTTTTAAAAAGTGTAAAAAGTAAAGGAAGATGGCCAGAGAGAGAGAAATGGAAATAATTCACAGTGAAATCTGGAGAAGGAAGGAGGTTGTTAGAGTTATGAGGAGCATAAGACCATTTTGTCCCAGTGGTTTGTGAGCGAAGAGGACTCCTGAGAATTGATACAAGCAATGTACTGCCAACAGAGAGGAGGGATTTGGGCTTTTCTCAGCAGAGGCATGAGGTTGTGTTTATAGTGACACAGGAAGTTGGGAATGTGGATGTGGAGCTTGGCTGTGTGTGTTAGCGTGGCTAGGTTGCAATGGGCTGTGCAGCATGGGAGGCTCCCAGCAGAGGGCTGTGTGCAGGAATAGCTTGACTTCCCACTCCACAGTACTGTTTGGGTGAAGGCTTTATCCTTCTTCAATTTGCAGGAGACAGAAGAGATCCTGGCAGATGTGCTGAAAGTGGAGGTGTTCAGACAAACAGTAGCAGACCAGGTGCTGGTTGGAAGTTACTGTGTTTTTAGTAACCAAGGAGGAATTGTGCACCCCAAAACTTCAATCGATGACCAGGATGAGCTGTCATCTTTGCTGCAGGTCCCACTTGTGGTAAGGCATTTGTGGAGTGTTTGCTCCTCCCATTCCCTCCCAACTCAGGGGCAGTGTTTTTCCAACTCAGGGGTTCCCAGATACTGTTTTTCTGTGAAGTGATTTTGAATGGGAGATGAGGAGAAGACTTGAACCAAGTCTTCCAGACAGTTTCCTGTCTTTTCTGAGTCTGAATAAGCTGCTCAGTGGTTTTACTTGCCTTCTTAAATATTGCTCTGCTGGGATTATGCACATTGTTCAGATACAGAATGTGAGGCTGTTTGTAGTTTGGCTGAAGCCGGTGTTTAAAAAGATGAAGTAAGAAACTCCTGTGCCTGCTCAGCTGGATGTGTGAATGCTGTTATTCTTCCTGCTCATCGGATTCTCTGTCACTGAATGCCACACCAGTTTCTCAGCAGAGAGTAAAGGCTGTTCATTAATCATTTTATCTGACACCTTCAGAACTTTGCTGGTGGCAGAGTTA